TTAGTTTGAACGCAAACATCTCAATACATTTGGCAGGTTTGTTCCATAGCTGTACCGAATTGTGCTCTGTGCCTACACAAAATTACTCTCAGATGTGAACTAGATGTGGCAAGAGGGGTGAATTGTAGGGTGCGCTAACAGCCATCCACAGCAAAGAAACATACATATCTGTAAACATAATGTCGATTTTCTGCTAACTTCATATTGGGTGAGGCGGCAAAAATGGCCACAAGTAGGTTGGGTGGAGTGAAATAGGTCGGTGCTGAGTATTTTAGGGCATATAGACGTTTTCAGTCTCAACTTGGGTAGTTGATGCATGTATAAGTTATTTAACTGTACACATTGCACGCGATTAACGCATAGTTGGCCTGAAATATATCCCTCAGATTGTTTTGGATGATATTTTCGCTTGTTTCAACCATCGATTTATCCTCCGTTGGTTTATAAATTGTCCTGGGTTTGTGAGTAAACTGGATTTGGTATGCGTTTCCTGCCCCGTAGATGCATGGCCAATCAGATTGCTGGCTTGTGTGTGAAATACATTCTGGTGAAAGCACTGTGAAATTAATTTCACAGAAACTATTGAATGTTCAAAGTTGCGAATTTTACAGGGGTTAGCCTAATCAGGATTCTGGTTACCTTGATGTGGTTTTCATAGCACTTTTCTTATTGAGCGAACTCCCATGGTCACCTGCCACCGCCCACTAGCATGTGATTGCCAATTTACGACATAGGGCACGAAGACGATTCAGGATATTCCACCATCTGGTGGTGTTGTAAAATAAGAGATGACATCTGTGGATGCTTCGATATAACTTTCGCCCAAGTAGATATTTGAATAACGTTTGCATACGTCATACTCGTCGAACGTAACAAATTATTTGAGTCTGCCACAGACACTCGGCATATCGCTGTTTTTGGGAAAATTCTCTTGCGAAGACAACACGGTGCATGGTGCAACAATGATACAAGCATTCATCCCTGTGAAAGATCCTCATTCTCAGGTACGCGCAAATTATCAGGAGACACTGTATTGGTTTCAGATAACTGCATGTGAGTTGACAAACCGCTGTGAGACACCTTTCCATATGAAAAGTATGAAGTCACTGGGCTCACTAAGTTCCACGCGTCCATCCAAACTTTCTGCACCATATCCACACCTTCCTTACTCCCGTTTCCGATGAAGCGAAAGCTTGCTCAGTTGACACTTCGCTTTCAACTGTCTGCCCTCATTTAAATGCCATTACCCACTCTATAGTGCACCTTCTGCGGTAAAGAAAGCAGAATAAAAAAGAAGCAAAATTTGTCGAAAGCTTGTACTGCTGACTCAAGATTACTATCGTTGCAGCGTATATCCCGGACAACTCTCCTACGAATCACAAACATCATTTATGGCAGGGCTAAGAAAGCTGCCTCAATAAACAGCCTTACTGAACACATGCTGTGACGCGATTTGTCTTGCAATGTCTCTGCGCAGTTCCTTTAGGTGTAATTGCACACACTCGGGCTAACTCATTGTGTCATCCGTTACGTTGACAATGAAATTCTCCACGTTTGTTCTGTCCCGATTTGTAACCCCCGCCGCACTTTTGTGTTTAGTGTATATGTATGAACTGACGTTTATTTGTCCCTACCACTTCACCCATTTGGCCTTCAGGTCATCCGGCCATTTGTGTCTGACTTTGCACGTATGAATGTCGCACGTGGGAGCCTGTTTGCTCCCTTGCGTTGTACTTTTTTAGTCCAAGCGGACTGTTTGTTTTGGACGCGTATCTACTGTCGACGTTTGTATAAATTGTGAATTTCTCTTAACCCTAACAGTACCGTATAGAAACCCAGCTCTGACTTTGTTTCGCTCACACGGAGGTTCTGGTGATACGCGTCACTCGAAGATACCGTTCGACCGTTACATTCATCGTCCAAAAACTACCACGGGTCTCACGTTACTCTTTGAACTCTTGGCCGAAGCATGCTCCGTACTACTGGCACTCTTAAACCTTCCCGACTTCCAGGGCTGGTTAACACCTCATTCTTTGTACCGTGTAACATGAGAAGGCCATTCACATCTCCAGTATGTGTGTTGATGTCTACAATGGTTCCAAGCCAGCTGTTAGGAAAATATTTTCAGGCCTTAAATCCGCACACTATGAAAAGCGCCTTGCTGTGCCTGAAGGATTCCGAATGGAGGACCATCGACTCCGAGATCTTATAACTACATTTTCCCTGTTTCAAAACGGGGTTGGCCGACAAGTTTTTCACCGTTGATCCAACCAGCTCACGTCAATGACAGGGTAAGAAGACTTTCAAGCTCAGAGCGCACATATTATTAAGGCAGAGCTTTCCCTCATTTCAAATGTTGGCAGTGTGGAATGGACTTCCCACGACGATTGTCAACGCTACATCTAGTACCAATTCAAAGCATCATTAGACGCAGTTTTATGCCATTCCTTACCCTGGCAAACGTACTGCCATCCTCTGAGAACTTACAGATCAGTGCTACACCCTTCTATGCTTGTGCCTTCCAGGTGAACGTCGGTCGCTGAACGACAGGAGAAAACCGACCTGGGACATTTGGGCAAAATCCTTGGAAACCGCCTACTACCACCTCTATCAGCTCTGCCCAGCTTGACTGACGATCAGTTAAATAGCCATGGAATCAGTTACGCACAATTTAGCCAACGTGCGTTCCTCATATGCACATATGGCCACACCCGTTCGCACCGATCTCATGCCGCTATTTCCTACTGTATCCACGTGGATGTCTACTGTGATTTCTGTAATCGGGCAATGTTGCTTAACTGTCTTGGCTGTCTGCTGTTTCTGACTGCAGTCTAACTGGAAGTAGTGCCCTGTAACAAATTTTTGACACTTTCGTCCCATTGTGAAATCCCCGGTTCGTCTTGCTACCTCGTTCAAATAGCTGAAACGGACCTCGCATACCAAGAATATCCTTGACCAGTGTAGGTTTTCATTTGCGACGATTCCCTGGCCAGTTCAATTACCCTGAAATAACAAATGAATTACCCAAGATTTTTATATACGGGGTTGTTTGCGAACCCCATTACAACGTCTTGATCACAGTGCACCGACTGCCATACCCAGCCTGATGGCCTTCCTCAGAAAACGAACTCCTCCAAAAACTATCCCACCGTCTTCAAGGAGGCCTTACTCTGCGCAATGGGAGCTGTTGAAAACATGAATTACGTGCCCGAAGTAGACCTAGAATACGCTTCAACAAATTTTGGCAAAACTGTGACTGCATGGAGATTGTAGGTTTTAGAACAAATAGAATCAACCGCTATGTAAATGTCGCATTCATTAAAATATTGTTTGGTAGAAAATGCAGGAGCATACGAGGATCGGCCTGGTCAAACTTATTATGTTTGTATGCAGGACATTTCAGATCTCACAGTTAATCAGAGCGAACGCAAAACATTTCGAAGGATGCCTTATGGTTATACCACTTATCATTGTTCGACGGCAGTGATTGTGTAGACAATAGAGTGAAACTAATTACAATGGACCGAAAGGGTACTCAGACGCTGTCTTTTTTTGCAAACGGCCACGGATTGCCGGCCAACCGAAGAGAAAAGTTTAATCTGTGCATGTAAGGGATATCAGTTTACGATAGATTAGGGGACTCACAGGACCAGTAAAGACAGGACCAAAGTTTTGCTCACGCAGCAAGTCGGATGTGCAGTCACCTTGCAGTGGCCTGGCTCCGCCGAAGGGCATAAGGGTATAAAAGATATAGCGCTGCGTTTTGGCTTCTCAGCGTTGAGCATTGAGCTTACCACGGTAAGGACTCACGCACAAAACGCATTACCAGTAAAATGCTAATCGGCCAAAACCAGGCCAAGAGAGCCAGGCGAGCCCATGCACTCTGAACTCTAATCGCTCCGACGTCTTGAACTGCAAAGGTCATCAATATATCCGCTTGTGAAAAGTTGCTCTTGTGTTCTTACAAACCGTGACCCAAAACACCACTTTCTCAGTCGTTAGTGTATTTGCCGGAAGGTCCCTATAGGTTCTCTTGGGGCCCTAGCTGCAAATACGGAACAACTACTCAGATGGTCCAAACTCCTTCTCGAGCTAGTTTGTTCTGATCCAATCAAACCCTACATCGACTTTGGGTGTCACAGTGCATTTTCAGTATGTCCCCTTTGCAAACCGTTTGCGCCCTATCCCCTGTGTTGGCACTAACTCGCTTTTCCCAAGAAATATTAAAACCCGACCTGCTCCAACAGAGAGACCGCTGAGTCTATACAGTTTTATTGAACACATGGATTCTAAGGTTCAAGCTATCACTTACGCGTATTGCGAATTTCTCGACTGCATGATCCTCTATTAGGCTTTTCCTGGTCCTACCACAAATTCAACTGTCCGATACCGTGCTACCGTTCTTTAATTCTGACTCTACCGGCATAATCTTCCCTGAGATTGTTATAATCAGTTTGTTCGAAAGTTACCAGGACGATAAGACTGACCCTTCCGTGGAACAATTTGTCTTCCTCTGATCATCCAAATTTCTCTCGATGCACGGTTGGCACGCTTAGTTCCCACCCGCAAGTTTTCCCTCCCCCGTCAACTATCCTCCCCTCCTCCACCACGCAAGTGCTGCCAGGGGGTGGTTTTCAACCCATATCTCCTCAGATAACCCGGCCAACTCGTTCAACTGGGGTCTCTCTGTCCCTCTGCCGCACTTACCAAGTTCATCCCGGAGTGTTAATATTCAAGCCATGTCCTCCCCACTCTCGCTGATTCTGGAGCTTGTCCTTAGCTATTTTCTTCCAGAGATCCAGCTAATTGCAATACCTCCACGACGCAGTGGGTCGTTATGCTTGACAACGCCGGCTTTGAAGCTAGTGTGCAAGACTCCAAAACTCTCGTAACAGAACAATACAGGTGGCCAAGGTTGGTGCATTTTCAGTCACAAATGGCGTTTCTCCGGGCCTGTCACTTATGTCACAGAACCCGTAACTGTTGGCTAACAATTCACATCAAAGATCATCGCCCAACACCGCATGCTTGAATCGAAAGATAGATAAACCATTTTCCTGCTGCTTGTCATCAGGCCTAGACTTGACCTCCATTTCCGCTATATAGTCTTTGTTTCGGCCTTTCGTTCGTATACGTTCCCGTCCACCAACCCCTATTATCCATGGTTCGGAACGCCCGTCCCCTGAGCAGACCCCATCCCAACGACCACCCATTTGCCTATCCATGTTGCCAGTGTCTTCTCACCTCACCTTTTCATCTTCAATTCGACATAAGTATGGAGCAGACAAGGTTTCACAATCTCTAGTTGTACACAGAATGCTTCCAAACTGCCCCGCTAAATTAAAAAAACTGCACCGGTTTCGAGCCCACTAGAACGCATCGACACAGATTTACATGTGTTCCACTGAGCCGCGTTGAAACAGTTCCCGTGCAAACTTCGGTCGCTCGAAAAGTTATATCGCTCACGAAATGTGACACCTAGATTCCCGTAACGAAAGCTGTTGGAGCTCGCACTACGGGTTTCCAAAAGTAGGTCTCCTCGAACCAACCTTCCGTTCACACTCGCTGAGATTGAGGCCCTCGCCAAATTTCCAGGCAAACATCTACACTCCCCTACTTATACGTAACTAACCCTTCATACACCCCATTGGTTCCACATAGAATCTACTTTCATCAACCGGGGCATATATATCCATGTATACTACACTGAGGTACCTACAAAGCCCGTCGGTGCCTCACGCCTTACTCACGCCCCCCATTCCCAAATCAACGACGGTATCCGCAAGGAAACTTCCGCCTCTCAGGTTTCAAATAAATAGCACCATCGCACTCAGTGCTTGTTCCTCATTACCGTATGGGTTAAACGCCACATCACTTTCAAAAACCGCACGCCTTTTTCGATATTTTATTGCCCGCCTGATGAAACTCTTGGAGACTACCATATCCCCTTCGTACCACGTGAGTCATCACGCACGATCTTAGCAAACAAAGCCTAACGTCCGTGCATCTCCAGTAACGAGGCCGGTATCATTAATAAAGTGCAAATTCAGTGAACACTGTCCCCGCATCACTCACCTTATGCTGGCGTGGGCCATGCTGGTCCCCGGAGATGTTGAAGTTTCATATTCAGTCTCCGAAACAGCGAATTATTAACCAAGCCTGTCAGCCTCCTCAAACTCAACTGATCTTACTACTTCCGGAGAAACTGACAACAGTATTGTAAATCTCCTAAAAATATGTGACAGTGTAGTGGTCTGGCTACCCAGTAAGTTAGTTTACCAGGGGTGTGTGGCAAAGAAATAAAAATGATTACGCTAGGTTGAGTATACAAAAATAAAGAGACCAGACGGAAGAGACTCACTAAAAATTGTTCTCTTTAAAATAGTTCGTCGTCGGCCCAGGTCAGCGAATAAACAATAAACCAATTATGTTTGTCCAGAGGTCTTCTTCTGAACAGTTCCCATGTATAATAGATTCCGAAGATGTCTGAAATGTTTTGGTACCAGAGTTAGTACATGAGACTCGCGAATGACCGCTGCAAGCGCGAGCGAAATCAGAAGAGAGAGTCGAAGCACGTGACCACGCTTGTATTATGTGAAATTGTACAAGGGCGCGTTTTTTGTAGTTTCTCGTATTCAAACAAAAAACGATTATGCAATTGATGAAATACCTAGTGTTATTATGGAAGTAAAATAAAGGTACAAAAACGCCACACTACTCCCCCACTAGAGCGTTGACCATGAAATGGGAAAACGCTCGAATAACTAAAGTAACGAATCAAAAGTTGCTAACTTAAGTTTCGTAATCAGCTAAGTGCTGAGGGAAACGGACGCGTCGTCCTGAACGACTAGTGGAAGGAGTGAGGTTGGCGGGAGGGATATCTTGGGTAGGTGTGGGTGTTGTTGGAATAACAGGATTGCTGGATGTGGTCGTAGGTGCTTCAATGTAGGCAGGTTTCAGACGATCAATGGAGACGGTGTCGTGCTTTCCACTTCTCTCTAAAACAAAATATTTGGAGTGACGTTCGATAACTTTGAAGGGGCCATCGTAACAAGGTTGGAGGGGTTTCCTCGTTGCGTCATGTCGGACAAATACAAATGGTGTAGAAGAGAGTTCGGTTGAGATGTGCTCCGTTCGCGTTGATCGTCTGGTAGGTGTCGCACGAAGTTCGGCCATATGTTGTTTCAGAAGGCTGACGAATGTGACGGGTGATTCGGGCTGTGCGCCAGAAGGGGAAACTAGTTCACCGGGTAGACGTAGAGTTGTACCGTATACTAGTTCGGCTGGGGAACAGTGAAGATCCTCCTTAATAGTGGAGCGAATAGCAAGCAAAATGAGGGGTAAAGAAGAGGACCATGAAGATGGGTTCATTTGGGCAGTCAATGCAGCTTTGAGGTAGCGATGGAAACGCTCAACCAGACCGTTGGAACAGGGATGATACGCGGTAGTCGATATGTGATGGAAACCGAATAGTGTAGAAAACTCACGGAAGAGATTACACTGAAATTGTGAGCCGCGATCCGTAGTAACGGTGGAAGGTATACCAAAATTACTAACCCAGTGTTGCAAAAATGAAAAAGCAACTGTTTCAGCTGAAGTATCCGAAATGGGTACAGCTACTGGCCAACGGGTAAAACGATCAATCATGGTAAGGATATGAGTGAAACCGTTTGATGGGGAAAGAGGACCAACAATATCGAGATGGACGTGTGTGAACCGAGCATCAGGAACGGCAAATGAACCAATAGGTGAGTTCGTATGCCGAGTTACTTTAGTGCGTTGACAGGCGATGCACTGTTTGGCCCAGGATGTCAGGTCCTTATTCATGAAGGGCCATACAAAACGTGCACTAATCAACTTCCTGGTTGCTCGGATTCCTGGATGAGAAAATCCATGGAAGTGGTCGAAAACAACGCGTCGGAAAGCTTCGGGTACGATTGGGCGAGCTGATCCGGTAGACATATCACAAAAAATGGCTCCGGATTGGAGGGGTAACGGAGTTGAAGAGACTTGAAATGAAGGGAACGATAGAATAGGCAAAAAATTAGGATCAGTGTTTTGAAGGTTCGCCAGCTTGGCTAGGTCCAACTGCGTGGAAGGGTGAAGAGCGTTTATGTCAGGACGGGATAAGGCGTCTGCGACGACATTGTCCGAACCTGGAGTGTACCGAATGTCGGTAGTGAACTGTGAAATATAATCCAGATGGCGTATCTCGCGTGGTGAATATCGATCAGGCTTGGCGTTGAAGGCGTATGTGAGTGGCTTATGGTCGGTTTGAATGGTAAACGATCTACCCTCTAACAAGTGCCGGAAATGGCGAATAGCAAGGTAAATTGCGAGTAATTCACGACCAAAAGTACTGTAACGCGTTTGGGCAGCCTGCATCTTCTGCGAGAAAAACGCTAGTGGTTGAGATGTGTTGTTAACAACTTGATGAAGCACGGCACCGACGGCAGCGTTCGAAGCATCAGTTGTCAAAATCAGCTTTGTGCTTTCGTGAGTATCGAGGAAAGATAACTTTGTGGCCTGAGCAATGGCTTGCTTGGCTCTTTCGAAAGCGGCAATGGCGGCGGGGGGCAAAGTAACAGATTTTTCTTTGGAGCTGAGTAAATCGGTCAGTGGCTGCAAAATATCTGCACAGTGAGGGATGAATCGCCGGAAGTAGTTGATGATACCCATGAAACGACGAAGTTGGGTGAGAATGGTGGGTATGGGAAAATACTCTAGGGCCAAAATTCGATCGGGTAACGGTGAAATACTTGTAGCTTCAATATGGTGACCAAGAAAATCCAGGCTAGTAACACCAAATAAGCATTTGTCAATGTTCAAACGTATGTTGTAAGCGGAAAAACGTTCAGACACTGCTCCGGGATGAGCTGCATGTTCAGCTTGGGAGGTGCTAGCGGATAAAACATCGTCAAGGTAGGCATACACAAACGGTAAGCCACGTAAAACCTCGTCCATGAAACGTTGAAACGTCTGGGCTGCATTTCGAAGACCAAAGGGCATACGTGAACTCGAAAAGGCCAAGCGGTGTTGTGATGGCTGTTTTGGGAATGTCATCCGGGGCTACGGGTATGTGGTAGTATGCTCTTACGAGATCGAGCTTGGAGAAAATGTTTGTATGGCATAGGGTACTGGCGAAATCGTGGATATGTGGGGTGGGATACCTGCCTGGGATAGTAGCGTTGTTGAGAGAACGGTAATCTCCACAGGGTCACCAATCACCTTTAGATTTCTTAGGTACCATATGTAGGGGTGATGACCAATAACTCGATGAAGGGCGGATGATGCCGAGTTCGAGCATGTGTTCGAACTCGTGTTTTGCGATTCGTAGCTTATCCGGATGAAGTCAGCGGGGGTTGGCATGGACACGCGGACCTCTCGTCTGAATGTGGTGAACGACGGAGTGTGTGACTGGTTGGGTGCACTGACATGGATGAGTAAGGGTTGGAAGATCCCTAAGTATGTCAGCAAAATGTGAATCCGGTAAGATAACTCGGACACCTGTGGATGAAGTTGGGGCACTAGTTCCGTTGACTGAGAGGGAGGTAAGCGTGTCTAAGAGACGTTTGTGTCGCACGTCGACAGATAGATTGTAATGGGTCAGGAAATCTGCACCGATGATGGGTGTTTGGACGTCGGCCAAAAGGAAGATCCACTTGAACGCACGTCGCAATCCAAGGTCAAGGGTGAGGGAACGTTCGCCGTATGTAGCGATGCGGGTACCGTTAGCGGCTTGTAACGAGAAAGAAGCAGAATCGGGAAGTGGATTCTTATGTGGTAGCACACTAACTTCAGCTCCCGTATCTACGAGGAAACGTAGACCACTTGAACGATCGGTGATGTGGAACAGGCGACTAGTGCGAGGAGGGCCACAGACAGTCGTCGCCGTTACTGACTGGCCGGGGTGTTTAAAGGGGTGTTGGAACGCGGCTTGAAGGAACAAGGTGGTTGACACTTGCGTGCTTTTAGACCATAAGAGTGGTGATACCAGCACCAAGAGGGACGGGCACGAGACAACGATCTGGATCGTGAACGTGGTCGATGCCTGTTGATCTCTAACCGTTGTAGGCGATCGGTCAAAGCGTCAAACTTGGCTTGTAGGTGCGATATAGAAGCAAGAAGCGGGTCGGAATCTGCGGTGGGTGGAGGGCGGGAGACGGAGTTTACGGGAATATTGGGATATGTTTCGTGTATCTTATCCGCCATTTGGGCTAGCTGC